AATTGTAAAACGAACATTTTTATGAATGAAAATAAAAAGAATTTCCTTTCACGCCGTGAAGTGAAAGATGTAAAAAATGAGAAGAAATTGTACAAAATGGGAGGATTTCATTTGACTTATTTGCTTTGATTCTAATGAATCAGTGTCCGCCTAAACTAACAACGGACATTATGCGCACTGTTGCACTTTCAGTTCAAGAATAAATTTTTCTGCGAATTTTTACCAAAACATATACCGGGAGCATTGTAGACAGAGGAACGTGAAGGCAATAAAAAAGGGCCATTGATAAGATAAGTGACTGCTTAAAATGATTTCACTTCATATATAACTTGAGAGTGAAACGGAATATCCTCGAACCTCATATGCGAAACTGACCCAAAAGACCCGATTCTAAAGATTGATCCATCTTTGATGAAACTTTTATTAGAAATTTTAGATTTTTATTTATTTATTTACTAAAGCTACAAACCTAATGAATATCCATAAAGAAGAACAAAGCCAATGTGTCAAGACGCCAAGGTGCCTTCTCAACCTTCATCCATGGTAAATAATTATCTACATATATATGTATAGGCCCACAACTGGCACAAATCTTCTTTTGAAGAACGTTTATCTGAAAAGGAAATGTGCGCATTAAACTCGTTAAAGTTTCCCGAAGAAACGTTGAACGGCGAAAAAGTTCAAGTTCGTACGGCACGAAGATAATGTGTAGAAAGGCGAGACGGAGCGTGTAAAAATAATTGACTGAATAAAAGTGAGGAACCAACACCCCTCTCCCTTTATTGGCTTAAACACGAAGGTCATTCCTAACATGCCGCCTGTTTTCTCACGCACCGGCAAGTCAATTAATTTTAAGCGTTTTTCATAAGGCGAAAGAGGTATGGACATACCCCATGGCAGTCCACGCAAGCCAAAAAGGAGGAACTCTTCCGATACTGGTTATCGGAGAAGAAGAGCTTGGAGCCCATAACAAATAAATAAATGGGAGAAGACAAACACACATTGAATAACGACAGATGCAGCCACCTTTACCGATATTCTAGTACTATGCAGATACTAACACGGGCGTTACAGATATGAAAATCTCAAGAATTTATTAATTCATTCGCAAGTAATTGAGTTTTGAAAATGATTCACCCTTGTATATAAAACGAAAATGATCGAGACTTCGTAGGTGTGTGTCTACGATGAGGGTGCTTGACGCCTTGTCATTGAGTCGACTAATCGTCGATGAAGTCTTTGGAATTTCTGCGGAACACTGACACATTTTTTCTTATAATATCACAAACGCAAGAGAACATTCGCCAAAAAGCATTTGGAGAAGGCTGTATACAGGAAGAAGTTCGGTGTATAATCCAGCAAGGAAAAACCAATCCACAGTTGCGGATCGTTGTTGGAGTCGAACAAAGTTGAAGCTTTTTGAAAGAGATTGACTAGGTCCGATAAAAACTGAGATACTTACTACAATAGCTTACAAAAGAGATCGTGGTCTAAGTTGGATGTGGCGCTGCCTAAGATAACTCTTTGTATTTGATGGGATGAATATTTCACGTTGTTCTGCTAATACAGCTAAAGCGATTAAAGGTGAAATGTCTAGTTTTGGACCATTTGATCAGCAACTGATGCAGTTTTAATTGGGAGGACTTAACCGGCAAGTTTTGATTTATAGCTTGGGCTTTGTTCCTTCTAACCATTCCCTGGAGAACGTTGTTAATGCTGTAAGATAGATTTGCAAAAAGTTTTGGAAACGTCTTCTGGTTTGGTTTTCGCCTGGAAATTTCAAAAGACCTATGGTGATGGAATAGTGTCATCACTAGAAAATGGCGTAAGGTTATCGATAAAAATGGTATACATTATTCTATTGATTCTATTAATACTTTTTGTCTTATATTCAATGGTTCATCGCAGTGTAAACGGACCTCATTATGGAAGCGCTGTTAATGAATCGTCAATATTTTGAAGTGCAGAAAAGTGGTGAATATGGTTGGAAACTATCACGGTAACAGTGTTTCGCGGTCCACCATTAACTACCCTACACCATCCCGCAATTACTCATATAATAAATTTTCTAAATAAGGTGTAATATGGAAATTGGTCGGAAAAACGGTGCGATCCGGACCATATGGGTGTACCAAATTGCACAAAAATGTATCAAAAATTGCGATCTGAAAATAAAAAAGAATAAGACGGACAGACGGACAGACAAGCGTAGATCGACCAAAAAAGTGTTTCTGGATCGACTGGTATATTAAGCGGTGATCGCATATCAAGACCTTCTATACATTACATACATATGCACAAATTTAATGCACTTTAGTACGGTGTAGGTGTGGATTATAAAAATGTGAAGTGTAAATACATAACATATGATATGTAATACTATAGTGCACAGTGTAAAACGCAACGATTATTGCAAAATGCTTGGGAATATTTGGCCCACCATCGGAGGCAAAGCAAGAAATTAATATTTATTTTTACTCGTCATTGTTTGCTTGAACTTTGCGATACTAATAACACATAGTATGTGTTTATATTATAGTGTTTATCCAAGCAATCGTGTTTTATACTAAACTTTTTTTTCGCATGCATGCATGCATATGTGTTTGTGTTTGTATGAATCTAGCCTAACGGCATCCCCAAGTATTTACAGCCATATAAACCTTGCTCTGCGATCGTTTTGTCTCTTGGCATTTAAAATATTCTCTTCTGTGTGCTTTAATGAAGTTCAATAGGTTAAGATGCGAGAGTAAGAAAGAAAGTGAGGGAGCGAGCGATTAAATGGAGAGTAAGAAACACTTTAAACAAATTTATAAACAAAGCTCATAAAAAGCGTATGAAATTTTATTCAGTTTTTTTTTCGAAAACAAAGTAATTAATTGTTTCTTTTTTTTTTTTCTTTTTTGGTTGAATAGGTTGTGTGGGGGCATTTCTATTAATATTATTTGGGTAATCATGCCGTTGCGTAAATATAAAATTATTCCTGCATTAGTTTTGGTTTGTTTTTTTTCCCACCAAAGAAACAGAAGAAAATCGTTTACCTTGAACTTGTTTTTGCATAATTTCATAATTTATACTTAAAAACAGGCAAAATGAGAAGATTATAAAAAATTTTACAACGATTCCAAAACGAAAACAAGTAAGAAAATTAAATTCAATCGGGACCGAATCTCTTATACCAGTCACCGTTTACCCTGACAAATGTGGAGTGAACGCAGTTTATTTTTCCTATTTTCAAAATAAAAGTTTATGCCGTAGAGACATGTGGGCGTTGTAGGCGTGTCCTTCGAAAAGTTCAGGTCAATTCCAAATCCTTTTGCAAATTTGTAGGCGATATCTTCATTTTCGCTAAAGGGGGAACGTTTACCACAAACATACAGACGAACAGGCGGACATGTGTAGGTGCATTGAAGATTTGAAGTTGGCTCGAATTTGTTTACTTTATGGGATTTTTGAAACTTGTTTCTGCGCTTTATAAAGATATTGAAGAAATAGTTAAATTTTGAGACCCCATAATATTGCTTAGACATGATCAATTTTTTCCGTTTTTGTGCACAAAAATAGCTACAGCATCGCCCTTTAAGATATGCGTTGAAATTTTTGTACATTTATTTGCATTGTTTATGAGAAAAAAACCTATTTTTTATTCCCTATGAAACAAAGAGGTATTCTGAGTTTACATGATGCGGTGGGCTTGTCCTTCGACTTAGCTCATATCCAATACCCATATGCGTGCAAAAACTGTCAATGTTTCTGCCAAATTTGAAATTGCTAGCTTTATTTTTGGGGAATGGTGGCAACAGATACAACACAGACGGACATGCGGACAGACGGACATGCTTAAATCGACTTAGACTTGAATGCTGACTTACTATCTTACTATACTTTCTGTAGTCCCTGATGCTTCCTTCTGGGCGTTACAAACGCTTTGACAAAATGCATATACCCCCCATCCTTCCGTAATGGGTATAATTATGGAATTAAATTTGAAATAGTTAAAGTAAAGAATAACCGTAAAGGTCATCTGCAGGAAAGCGTTAATTAGTACTTTTTCTTTTGCATTTTCAAGTCAGTTAATAATAGTTTTAAAAGATATTTATTTATTTATTCTTTTTTTGTTTTTTTTTTTTTTATGTCTTTCTGCTACTATTACTCATGTCCATAATGCCTGGCCGATGACTACTAGTAAACGTCGTTACGGCGTCATTGCTTATCCGATTACATGCCTACATAAAATTTAATTACAGTTTAGAAAATATAAATATTTTTAGTTTAATCATAAAATCCCATTTTATGTGACCAATGGTTATATATTATTTAAAGTACAAGATGACGTTTTATTTAGCTACAAAAAGCAAAAAAAAAAAAAAAATAAAAAATAACCAACCATATCACACGCATTCAAGTGCTGTAAAAAGGCGTTAAAACATGTATGTAGAGATGTTTTTCTTTTTCGTTTTTTGTTTTTTCACTCACTCATTTAATTTGTTCACAAATAACCGTTATTAACTTAAATGATGAAACTTGTTAGTAAAGCAACATGTTGCACGGCATTTATAAACTGTGAGTAGATACTTGTTGCTTTTCCCTCCAAAAAAAAAAAAAAAAAAAAAAAAAACGAAGCAAAATCCTCCCCCTTGCTATATAGGCTTTAAACTTTGCTTTTGTTTTTTTTTCTTTTTTTTTTTCATATATGTCTCTTCGAAAGGACATTTGTAATCTTATCTTGTGTCTCTGTGTAGACAAGGATATAAAAGCACTGGTTCGGTTTAATAAATTTCGCAAACGTTTCAACGCTTTATTACCGGCAACAAGTACGGTTAAGAGCGATTTCCTCTTATATTAGTGCCGGGAATGCAAAAGGATGTGAATTTGCTTTGCTACAAAATAAGGAAATAATTTTATTAAAATAAAAAAAAGGAAAAATTTCTCAAATTTGAATAAATTGTTTTTTTTTCGCTGCTTTTTAAACTAACGAAATAGTATAAATTATTTCTAATGAAAATTTTGGATTAAAAAAATCTAGTCGTTCCACCTCTGCAACAAGGTAAGTGTGAATTTACTTAATAAGATGTAAAGTTTCTCCTCACTAAATTTGGTTCTACTGGCTGCGGGTGAATTACGCAACTCTTATTTAAAATAGAATACAAAATTTCTATTGTTGTTTATGAGCAGTGAGCAAAAAACCCGCTTTCGAGAACAAAAGTGGACGGTAAACTCGGAGTTGCAATCGAATTAATGCCCATAACTTCATTTATGCGACCGCAAGTGCGTTTACCGTAGGTAATTGTCAGACAGACAGACAGACAGACAGACAGACATATGCCTGTCATGCTTCTGGCGCATTGACGAAGAAACCAATATATCCTTATGGGCTCGCTGTTTGATCCGCATGAAGAATACATACCGTTTACAGGGTCTCCCGGGGTTTCTTTCCCAATTTTGCAGAATCACTGATAAAAGAATAAAATTACGATATTTCATAATGTTGGGCTGGCGTGGTCGAATTTTCAATTCATTTTTGTTGATATAGGATCGTCCAATAGGACATACGCAGAAATTTATATTGTCTTATTTGCTGTAGTTTGTGAGTAACAGGTGTTCTCAGTTTACTGTAGATATGCCGTGTAACTAATGTGGTCAATAGCAAGAGGCGTACAAGAACTTCCACAGTTTATGCTAAAATTGAAACTGAAATTTTCATTTTTGCGGTCGAGAGAATGTTTAACATAGAGATTACAGTTATATTGACACACAAGCAGAAAGACACTCCTTCCTGCACTGTTTAATGGGAGTAACTATCGTGAATGACTTAACCTCACAGCGCTCGTATAAGAATTAATAACCAACGGCCGCCCACACATTGCAGAGCGAGACGTACCACTTCTAAAGTAGCATAATAGGAAATAAGTGCAAGCTGTTTTCTTACTATTTAATAAGTGGCGAGACCTATCTATTAGCTCTTTGTTAATTCCCGACTAAAATTTGGAATAACCATAGCCACCACAAAACCCAAAAAAGGCGTACCAAGTAGCTAGGCAAGAAGGCATTCATCGTGATAGTCTGCTGGGAAGCGCATTTTCATGCCAGGAGTAATTTTATCTCGGGTAACCTGACCTCCATGGGCAACCAAAATTTCATGACTTGTCGTCCTTGTCGACTTAGGCCATGCTATACAGCTTCGGGTGTTATTTTACCGTACGCTGCCGGGGCTACGCTTACCTTTCGACCATTCACGCATTCCGGTTGACAATTCAGTACACTATCTAACTATTGATTCCGATGAACCCTTCTTGGCCGAGTGGCTGAGTAGCTCTAATAAATAAGAATGCCGCGAAAAGGCGTGGTTTTCGAAGATTCACATTTCTCCGCTCCTCACAAGACCATTTGCAAAGCAGATGACAAGATCTGAAGTCCCATCTCCGCATTCGTCATATGCGAACGGCTAAGCACACTCAGAAGTATACTTTCAATAAAAATCCATTATTCTGATTCTGTTAGCAAAGACAATAACCAAAGTAATTGCTTATGACAACTAGCTTAACCTCCATTCAGATAAAATAAAATTTTTTGAAAAAATCTTTCTATAATGAACACATACAACACAAACGGAACTTTTTCAAAATAGTACACTCTAATTACGCCGCTTATTGCGGATTCCCTAAATTGGAAAAATATATCGTTCACGGTATGTTCATGCTGCGCATAGTAATCGAATGCATATAAGCTGAGTTATTCCATTATGAGTGACATCTTATACGGCAAAGTGTTGCGCAAGTCTCTTATACCCTAAATCAATTAATTATATCACAATACCATATGAAGCAAGTGCTCTGGTTGTGCTGGCTAACAATCTGTTTACAGCATGCAATGACGCCTACTATATGAAAAAATTTACATGTGCTATCTTTTCATGAAAGTGTGTTATTGAAAAATTGGTGCCTCATTAATAATATTGAAAAATTTCACAAAATCTACGCTCTTGTCATTATTTATAGTTTGATGCAAATTGATGTTGGACGGAATTGAAAATAAATCCAAAATTACTTTTTTTTAAAATAATTTACTTTGTTTTTAATGTTATATAATTAAACTTAATTATAAGTTTAATGAAATGCAGTCTTCATCAATTCTAAACAAAGAAACTGAGCGGCAGAGAGAAAGCTGCAGTGATTTTTGTTTTTCCTTTCGCTCTTTCGAAACATTGTTTTTAAGAAAGATACTTAAGACTAATTTGTTTCTACTTGAGGGGAAAAAGTAATTTTTAATATTTATTTGTTTCGCTTCTTGTATATCCATCACCACTAACGCGTGATATTCATTTTATCAAAACGTTTGTAAAAACGAGAAAGACACTTTTGGACGCTTCTCGATAATATCAAATTCTGAATAGATTTCCATCCAAATTATTGTCCACCTGGATGGTATTCAAAAAAAAAAAAAAATTATCAAAATTTCCACATTTCTTCTATGGGTTAATCTATTGCTGAATGAAAAAAATATATAAAAAAAAAGTTCGTTGTTGACATGGTTCGTCATTCTTTCCTCACGGATCATGACGTTTAGGAGGCATTCACTGAACAATTGATGATTATACTTGATTTTTTTCGCATCTAGACAACCTCCCTACGAAGCACTTACTCTTTGTGCTTCGACAAAGCACTTAAATACTAATCCGTACTTTTCGAAAAAATGAAAAATGCGACTCTGTGTAGGACTATTTCAACTATTCTATTTATTTTTACCAAATTCGAAGTTCAAACCATCGCTCTCTCAAGTTACGAAGTTCGAAGTTCAAATACATTCCAACAAGTGGTCGCTCTCTCAAGTTAGTAAATTCGAAGTTCAAACCATCGCTTTCTCAAGTTACCAAATTCGAAGTTCAAACTTTACTATAATCGGTATAAACAAGTCCGTAAAATATATTTAGAAACACAGATGTTCACGTTAATGTTACCTCCAATTAAAAATTGAAACAGCAATTGCCAGTACCTTATAGAAACATTTTAATAATTTTCATTAAACTTATTTCAATACTTTCAATGGCACTTCAATATTTAATTATTATTATTTTTTAATAAAACTGCTAATAATAAATAGAAAAAATTTGCTAAGGGGAAAGTTTGCAATTTAGGTAAAAATTTTATATGGCTTCGTTGCTAAGAAATTACTCGTTACTCCGTAAAATAGCGAAGTTTTCATCGTTTTGTTGTTGTGGAATCGATGCAAATGCATCCAAGAAAGGGCATGCAAACTAGCTGATGCATCGTATATCTCACTCAAAAATCTTAGCCACCGCTGCTCCTCAGTTTTTTTGTCTTGTTTCGCGGACCCCTACATTTCCTTGCTTGTCGGCTGAAGCAGTATTCGGGTCAATAAAGAGGCAATGTGAAAGGTACCTTTCCCGCAGACAGTATTTTACGGAAAATTTACGTATCACCCTAAACGATTTGATAATAACTTTGCATGCATTTGAGCCGATTGTCGAGACTTTTTCGGTAAACTGTCAGGTTTCGAACCAAACAATCGTATTCTGCCACACATACATCTGTACATACGTACAAATACAATATTCAACAAACAACAATTTTCTGTGTACTGTAAAGTATTTTCCAAGAGGCTTGGTGTACCTGTAATAATCTCAACTACAAAAGTCAAAAGGCAATGGATGAAGTCTCTCATCCTGATTAATTCAAAATCTTATTCCCTCCTGAGCGTGACTCCTCTGGCGATCGTGAACATCGTCGCTGTATACTTCCAACTTAATTTTACTACCGCTTTCCTCGGTTTGGAAAACAGAAGTATTCTCGGTTTACGTGATTTGGCCTATTTTCAATACCAACCTGCGTGCAAGGACTTCCAATATTTCTATCAAATTTGAAGTCGATATCTTCATTTTTTCGAGCAGGAGAATGTCAAGAACGCCTCACCACACAGACCCATAGACGGACAGACTTATCTTAATCAATTCAGAATTTAATGCTGATCAATTATATATATATACATATATAATTGATTATATATATATATACAGGGTCTTTGAAATTTATTTTCGGATGCTGCAAATATTATAATAAAATGAGTAGACCCTTCATCCTTCCGTAGTGGACATGAAAATAGATGCTGTGATAATGAAATGCAATTGTTAAGTAACGATACCTTTAAATAGTTTTGGTAGAATACCCAAGTCGGCAACGTCTCTGCAACTGTCTAATTGCACATTTCTAAAATGTCGTAGGGAAAGTGACAAACAAATGGTGCTCTATGACCTTAAGATTTTGGCTCTCTCTGCTACCTTACCAAAAGAGATTTATCCTTTTTAGCCTTGCATGAGCGCAAGTTTATACTTCTTAGTTAAGCTAATAAATGGTATTATTGATTCGCCGACTTTATTAGGCTTTCCTTACCATTGTTGTAGAAATTTTATTTGCTGAAAGCTCACTCAAAACCTTTGCAAAAATCACCTCACTATGAATGTCATGTCTACGTCGTATTTAAATTAACATTTAATGTTTAATACTTTAATAATCCCCTAATTAAACCCAGGGTTGTTTTCAATAAAAACTAGGTTAGTAAGTTAATAAATTTAACCTTCAGTTAACACTAAGTCTATATCACGACTTTCAGTTATACTGTAACAGATCCAATTTTAACGTAAGGTGTTTTGTAGTTAACTATTAACTGGCAAAAATAATCAGCTGGTAAAACCAATCATAATCTTAGTAAAGTGAAATAAAAAAAATTGAGGGAAATTACTTGCGACGTGCAAAAAAATCCGTCACGATATGTGCAAAGTTAATCAAAATAATTTAACTAACAGTTATAAAATTACATTTTATTGAAAAACCAATTATTTAACTTCCAGCGAAGAAGGGCGTCCTCTCACTACAACTTCAATTGCAAACATCTCAAATTTCATACCCTACAACAAGCAAAATGCGAAATATTTACACGTCTTTTACTTCGTAAAGCGGTAAACAAATAAATCTCCGAACTCTCTTTAAAAGAAAAGAATTCTTACTCTCTAGCAAAGAGTTAAAGAGGAGTAAATCTTGGTTAAAAAAAAAAACAATTTCATAAAGTCATTTATTTGTAAAAAGAAAGTCTTTTATGTACGATTCTTACAATTTAAAATTGCGAATTAAATGAGAATTTCGTCTAAGCAAAAGAAAAACATATTTCACTGTGTATAGCATTGTTGTGTGTGAGTATATTTTTTATGACCATCGCGGAAAGCTGAGGAGTACATTCACTTTATTAAAACGTTTGCAACGTCAAGCAAGAAGCATCAGAGACCTCGCAAAGTGTTTATATGCCTGATTCTGAATCGATTTAAGCATGTATGTCTGTCCGTCTGTGCGCCTGTTGTAAACATTCTCCTGACCGCAAAAATGAAGCCATCGACTTCAAATTTGACAGATTCTTGCACACAGATTGGTATTAAAAATGGGCCAAATCAGTCGAAGGACACGCTCCCGGTGGCACGCAAACTGAGAAAGCCCCTGTTTTTCAAGAGGAACAAAGAAATTGTTTTTTTGCTCATTACTCATAAACTATAGCATATAACTGTACAGAAATTTAAAACTCATAATATATATACATTGTTGGCCAGTTTCAAACTTGGAATGCACCTATCTGTCTGTTCGTCTGTCCATCTATCCGTCTGCGTACCTATGTAGTATCTGTGATAAGCATTTGAACTTTGAAAGTGATCTAAACTTTTCAAAGGACCCGTCTACAACGCCCACGTACCTATAGGAGAAAACTTTTTATTTTTACAATAAAAAAATCAGCCTCGCCCGCTCCTTACTATAGAGAATGAAAATTTATTTCTTTTACTTTTTTCGTCTTTTTACGATAACTGTGATGGATATAAAAGATTCGGTCACGACCGAATACAATTTTCTTACTTGTTGTATTTGCCCACCTTACGCTAACCTGTCATAGCGACTGTCATCAATCTCATATAAGGCTTTCACATAATTTGACATATTTTGAAAAATTAATGCAAGCAACAAATTTTGTTGTACATAATGGTGGAGATAGACAGCAATTGCCCACATGATACGCTATTCAGAAGATATTGCTGTCCGAGGTTGACATCATGAGCCTCTGACAAAACACACGACTTAATAGAGAAACCGAAAAAAAGATCCGAAGAAAGATCTGAAGTCCCAACTTAGCGGAGTAATTTCCTAAGCCGAAATATTATTTTGTATTGGCTTTTATTTTAAGATACTAAAAAGTAGAGCGTGTTGCCGTAAAAACGTAAGAACGTTTGTAAGAGAAGCTGGTAAAAGAATGGTGTCATTCAATTCAAATTTCCCGCATTCAGTCAGTACATCAAAATACTGCTACCTTTCGGGTATCTTTACCGAAAAATGTGAAAAACTGAAAATGTCTATTACCTATCACCGACGGATTAGGTGTATATTTACTTTGTCAGAACGTTTGCAACGCCCACGAGAAAGCATCGGAGAACCTACAAAGTACATATATCCTTGATCAGCATCAAAATCTAAATCGATTTAAGCATGTCCGTCTGTCCGTCTCTCCGTCTATATGTCTCTCGATCTGTCTAATGTCTGTTGTAAGCATTCTCTTGGTCGCAAAAATAGAGCTATCGACTTCAAATTTGGCAAAAACATTGGAAGTTCTTACCCGCAGATTGGCATTGAAAATGAGCCAAATTAGTCGAATGACTCGACCATAGCTCCACGTAAACTGAACACACCTGCGCTTTTCAAACGGAATAAAAAATTGGGTATTTGCTCATTACCCATAAACTATAACATGTAAATTTATAAAATTTCAACCATATACTCTACGGGCGATGTTCTAGTATTTCTACAAAAACGGAAAAAATCAGACACGTTCACCTAATTTTGTAGTGAGTCATAACTTCATTTTTTTTCAAAACCTTCATAATGCATAGAAGCAAGCTTCAAACACCCCGTAAAGTATCTAAATTCTTGCCTAGTTCCAAATTCGAAATCCACCTAAATACGTCTGCCCGTTCATCAGTCCATGTGTCCGTCTGCACAACTGTGCGGTGTCTGTTCTCTCGTTCGCAAAAATGAAGACAAACGTGCCAAAGGGATTGAAAATCACCCGAAGTTATCAAAGAACGAACCTACAATGCCTACACGCCTGTGAAAAACTTTGTTTTCTGTGTTATTCGCTAAAATCCACTTGACATTAAAGAACATGAAAATTTAGCTATCTTCCATTATTTTAGGTTCGCGATGGTGGGTCGCGGGTGAATACAATTTCTCTTCAAGTTTCATTCTTGCGATCGAGGGAATGTTTATAGCAGACATTATACAAACTGAAAGACCCGTAGAAGGGCAGACGGATAGACGGACGTCATTAAATCAATTCAGAATTTGATGCTGATCAAGAATGTATACACTTTGTGAGGTCTCTGATGCTTTTGTCTCGGCACTGCAAGCGTTTTAACGAACACCCCATTCTTCGGTGATGGGTATAAAAATGTGGGCTGTCTTGGTGAACTATCTTCACTTCGGTAAATAGTTGGTTATTTCTTCTCTTTTATTAATATTTGATGATAACTACTAGTACGACCCTTTTTTGGGTAAAGCAAATGTGATGACCTAATTAATATATGCCAAACCCTCGAATAATGGTTACACAAGACGCCATTTCCACATCTTACTTTGCTGAAGCAGTGCTTTACTTGTGGGGCCATAAAGTAAATTTAGTTAAATTTCATATCTTGTGATACAAAATTTTTTCTTAATTCAAACTCAAACTCTCCTTGCCCTTCGACCTGTCACGTACGTGTTAAAAATTAAGTGTTTTTTTTCTCAAAGTAATCTTATTTTCCTCATGCGCGTAATACTTTAATGTAACAAAATTATCATCAGTCGCTTGATTGTTCATGGGAGGATTTCGTGGAAATTCTTAAGCAGCAATTTATGAATTTCGCTAATAAAGACCTTAAAAATGAATGTATCTTCTTCTTTTCTTTTTTTTTTTTTTTTTGGTTACTTTCAAGAGATGAATAACTTAAAATGTCAACAGCTTGTTTTTCAGTATCTTCTACTATTGCCCGCAACGGATAAACGGATAAAATGTTACCTCTAATTGTTTACTTGTTGGCTTTACAACATTTGCATACGTCAGCGCTGAGCAAAATATTGCTATCATCTGATTATAGTTTAAACAATTTAAATGAAGATTTCGATAAATCTATGCGCAGCAATGATCATGCGGTGACACCTACCACCTACGAGCCTTTACTCCAAGATATTATCGAAAATGTACCTTTTGTGCAGAGCTATCCGGATGAGACTGCCTTACAATTTCCAGAACAGATATCATCGGTAAATATTGATTACGGGAAGAATATTATCGTTTTAAAGTTCAGTAAGAAACCGAGAAAATTATCATTAAATAAAGAAGAACAAGAGAAACGTAAATCATTTCATGAGAATTTTATGCGCTTTGGTAAGAGAGCTTACGAATATCTCCCTACTATGAATGATTTTATTGGTCATTATTATGAAGAGTTGCCGGGAGAGCGTTACGATCGGGCTCGTGAAACTGTACGAGATTTGCGCGGTGATAATTTTATGCGTTTCGGTCGGAATGATAATCAATGCGGCAAAGCCGATTGCCGCGTTACTGAGGATTTTATGCGTTTCGGTCGCAGCAATGGTGGCAGTGTAGATTTTATGCGTTTGGGCCGCCGAAGTGGGGAAGATTTTATGAGATTTGGCCGCAATTCGGGTAATCAAGATTTCATGAGATTTGGTCGAAATTCGGGTAATCAAGATTTCATGAGATTTGGCCGTAATCCTGGAAATCAAAATTTCATGAGATTTGGTCGCTCATCTCCCGATCAACATTTTATACGATCGAGCCGTAATAGTGATTTTATGAGATTTGGTCGCAGCTCCTCTAGTCCGGACTTTATGAGATTTGGTCGCAATGCTTTCGATTTGAAAATGAAAGAAGGAAAACGTTCTGACAATTTTATGCGTTTTGGACGTGCATCGAATGAGAATTTTGTGCGTTTTGGTAAGCGGAAAACCGAAACTAAGGAACAACTTATCTCTGCTCCATCTGACTTGAATAAAAAAGCATCGAATGACACCGTCATTGAAACAAATTCCGAGGATAAAACTCTAAAAACGAATTTTGATAACAATCAGGAACTACTTAACGATAATGAGAACTTAATGAATTTCGAATTAAATAACAATATTCTGGCCGATGATAAGGATACATTAAACGCGGACTACGTTTTAAAAGTTTCCGAATAAATTATTTTTTAAAATTATGTAAATAAATGAATGTAAACTTTTATTAGTATTCAAGTATGCAGAATTGGTGCCACACAATTTTTATCTATACACCGTATTTAAAAGTTATACTATATTTTGTATACATCTCTACTAAGTAAATTTATAAGTTTAAGTGTGCTTTTGTTTTGTTTTGTTTTTTTTTTTTTTTACTAAGGCTGCATATTAAGTTTATTATGTCTTACGACGCAATCGAATGGTATACGAAAAAGAAAATTTTTCTTTTAAATTATATATAAATTTTATCAAACAGAAGAAATATTTTAATAAAGGAATATGAAAACCTTTGAAAAGGTGAAACATTATTTTCAATAATACATCAAATATTGACCTACATAAATAGAAGAAAAGGTAAGTTAACCGGGATACCCATAATACAAAATCAGTGTTAGTTGATAAAATTTACTAATGTCAACAAATACGTTCGTTTATTGAGAGCCCAGAGAGAGCTTTCTATCAAGGCGAAGTTCACACTTTCATCGTTCTTATACCCATCACCGAAGGACGATGATTTTGTCAAAACTTTGGCAACGACCAGAACGAAGCATCGAAGATGCCACAAACTGTATATATTCTTGATGTAGTGTGTATGTCTGCCCGTTTGTCCATCGGTCTGCCTGCGTAATGTCTGTTGTAAACATTCTTCTGTTCGCAAAAATAAAGCTATCAACATCAACTTCGGCAGAAACATCGGAAGTTCTTACACGCAGATTAGTATTGAAAATGAGCCAAATTGGTCGAAGGACACTTCCACAGCTTCACGTAAACTGAGAAAATCTCTGTTTTGCAAATGAAAAAAAATTGGTTTTATGGGCGATTCTATAGCAAAAACGGAAAAAATTGACCATCCCTACCCAATATTACAGTGTCTCAAAATTGAATAATTTTTTCAATACCTTTATAACGTGCAGAAACAAGCTTCAAAAACCCCATAAAGTAAACCAATTCTGGACCAGTTTCAAGTTTTGAATGCACCTAAACATGTCCGCCTGTTCGTCTGTCCACATGTCTGTTTGCGCAACTTTGTAGCATTTGTGAGAAAAATTCTCCATTTAAAAAAATGAAGATTGCTTACAAATTTGCAAAAGAATTTCGATTTGACCTAAAGTTTTCAAAAGACATGCCTACGTCAAAAACTTTTAATTTGAAAATAGAAGAAATCAAATGCGCCCACTCTATATTATCGAGCATGAAAATTTTGGTCTTTTACTTTTTTTAGGGTAAACGGTAATGGGTACAATAGATTCGGTCCCGACCGTGTTTAAGTTTCTTACTAGTTTTCCATATAACGACTTTTCACAATAAGACGTTATACGGGGAAAGGTCAAAATAGCGTTCATCCTTGGATCATATCATGTCAGTCTAACAAATTTCATCAAAGTATTTCTAAAATGCGACTTGTTGCTTGAACAATAAAATTACATTAAATGAACAGACGAACAGACAGGTTACGGATCTACATCGATCGGTATAACAACGCTGGGTCTATCTTAAATTCTTCTATATGTTAAATATGTCCGCACTAGCTTAACGTATCTTGCAGCAAAATTGTAAGGTATAAATATTTTTTCCTATTAAAATTGGGACTTTCTACCCTGTTTCTCAGTAAACATAGCAAGTATGCCCATCTGTTTGTTCCGCATCGTAACTAGTAGAAGTTACGAGTGCGAAGTCATCAGGTATTTTTTTTTTAACCCATCATCTCTTCAGGGATTTATAATAATACTGTTTTCTTAATACCAAGCTGAGAGTGTCATTGTGACTATTGCATCGGAATTGAAAATCTCGATAGTTAAGATTTGTATTTAATTCGGTATAAACGGCGTGAAATTGGATTTATTAAAATTAAGCATCTCGCTTCATCGTCGACTTTTACGATATATTATCAACAGCTAACAGCCCTGTCTTTGAATGGGAAGAGAAAGAGAGAGCTAAAGCACTCACTAAACTAACATTTTAATCAGTCAAAAGTTGCTTGTGGCTCTTATTAAATTGCATAAATTTTCATTTTAATTCGATTTTCGTTAATATTAAAATTAATTTAAAACATAATAAATTTTATTATAATATTTAGTTATTTCTAAGGTGAGATATGCATGAAATATGAAAATTCAAGAAAGTCCAAAGTTCATAGCCTAATGTCTGGTTAATGTGTTTATTTTCATCTGATATGTGAAACAAATTCTCTAAAACTAGTGAAGCAAAGCAAAAAAGCTAAACAAAAAAAAAGAAAGAAAAAAGATTCAAATATGCAATGAATTAGAAATTAGTTATCTTCTTCAAACTAATTCAGAGTATTTCAAAAGTTATTACATTTAAGTGAAGATTTCATGCTCAGCGGACAGCGAGCAAAGGTGTATTTAAGCCACATATTAAACTAATCAACTAAGGATACGATGTCAGCTTTAATGAAAGTTGCTAGAGGTATGTAATGTGTAATCTTGAAGAATGTTTGACAAACAATATTATTGTATACCTTAGAATTGTTGCTATTTGTTTTGTTTGTTACATAATCGAATTTGTTATTATTGCTTTTTGTATACTTTATTGTGGGTAATTAAAATAAATTTTTTTTTTTTTTTAAATATTTGTTACTTTTCTGTAGTAGATTTTTATTAAGTCGCGTTTTTTCCTACTCTTTTGCTATTTTTTTTTTCTTTGTTGTTTGTAAAAAGACTTTTTCTTATCAGTACCTAAGTCCAAAATATGTTCATGTATTCATGTATTATATATAATAAGGAAAAAGCACGAAAGCTGGTATAATAATAATAAGAGGAAGTAAACATAAAATAATACTTCCAAACGGCCGAGGTATTGAATATGTAACTGACAGAACTTAACGCAAATCAAACCACGTATGACACGTCGACGTAAAAAAAGGCAATAAATGTTCAATACGGATGCTTGCAGATGCATACATCATATAGACTAAACTTTAGATTCTTAGTATTATAAAACAATGATAACAACTGAGAAAATTGTATTCGATCGTAACAGAATCTTTTATATCTGTCATTATGATCCTAAAAAATAGAAAAAGACATAAATGTTCATTTTCTATAATATTGGGTGGGCTGGGGTGATTTTTTCTTTTTTAAAATAAAAGTGGAAATTTATATGGTGCAAGTGTTGTACTTTATAAGTAAAAAGCAAAAAACACAGAAGACAAAGGTGTTCACAGTTTTTGTTATATAGAAATGTGGGCATTGTAGGCGTGTCCTTTGAAAAGTTTGGATCATTTTCAAATTCTATTGAAACTTTGTAGGCAAACTGGATAATATTCACCACAGATACTACACTATTACACAGACAGACATATGCACATGCTTAGGTACATCCCGAATTTTAAATTGGCCAAAAACTTATACACTTTATGCGGTTTTTCAAGCTTACCTGGATAATTTCTACAGTAGTGTTGAACTGCCTGATAAGGAAAAAATATGCCCGTCCCATCCAAGCTTTCCAAGTTCATTTAGTATGCCACCGACTTTCGTTGAGGGTATTAAAAATATTTTTATTGTAACGATGTTTGCCGTGTATGGAGAAGACCGCGTTTTGCAGCGACGTTCTAAGATCGCCTCTTTGGAAATAAAGTTGCTATAGACTTAACATAGAGGAACTCAGGGACAAGTAGATCGCAATTTTATATTGATCAGTATAGATCTTGTGAAATGCATAAGTTAACTGACTTGCCTTATGAACTTACTCTTTTTATATGTATGTATTAACGTTCCTTCGCGAGTAAGAAAAGAAAAGAAATTAATTTGGGCTTACAGGATAAAGCATTGAGTTTGAGATTTTTAAATTTGTTTGTAAGCTCTTAAAAACCATCATCTGCACATCAACATTCGCATAAGTATTTAATTCATATAAATATTTATTAGAGTACTTTAAAAAAAACTACTTTTTTCAGTTAATAAACTCTTTACTCCCATCATTGTACGTAGTGCTTCCGATTCGGTTAAGTATCCAAAGATAACAACACATTATACAATACATCCGCGGGACAACGATGAACGATGGAAAGGTATGTGATTACTATACAGATAATAAACTGTAAGTAAAGTTTGTTACTAAAGCTCTTCTTTTTGCCTAGGTGTCAATATGGAACGGTTTATAGACGAAGTAGATGTGGTAATTGTGGGCGGTGGACCTGCAGGAATGTCCGCTGCTATTCGTGCCAAACAATTAGCTGCAGAGCAGCAAAAAGAAATACGCGTATGTGTAGTGGAAAAGGCAGCCGAAGTGGGCGGTCATATATTGTCGGGTGCCGTAGTAGATCCAGTATCAATTAATGAATTGTTTCCTAATTGGAAAGAAATGGGTGCTCCCTTAAATACCCCAGTGACAAAGGATTCTTTTTCATACCTAACTGATGCTGGACGTATATCAATACCTATATTTAAAGGGTGGCCTATGGATAATCATGGCAACTACGTGGTACGTTTAGGCCATTTGGTTAAGTGGTTGGGCGAACAAGCCGAAGCTTTGGGGGTTGAAATCTATCCAGGTTGTGCTGCCGCAGAGGTTCTCTTCCATAAAGATGGCAGTGTTAAGGGTGTAGCCACGAATGATGTGGGCATAGCCAAGGACGGTTCACCAAAAGATACCTTTGCGCGAGGAATGGAGTTACATGCTAAAACTACCATATTTGCGGAGGGATGTCGCGGCCATTTAACTAAACAAATTATGCGACAATTTAATTTGAACGAAGGCAGCCAACACCAAACGTATGGCATAGGATTAAAAGAAGTTTGGGAGATACAACCGGAAAAACATCAGTAGGTTTTAGAAAATAATAAAAATGCATGACTATTCTTAATACTCTTATACCCACTTTAGACCTGGTTTAGTGGAGCACACAATAGGTTGGCCTTTGGATAAATCAACCTACGGTGGTTCGTTTCTGTATCACCTCAACGAACCAACGCCTACTATAGCCGTAGGTTTTGTGGTTGGATTGGACTATCAGAATCCATGGCTTAGTCCATTCCAAGAATTCCAACGCTTTAAAACGCATCCTAAAGTACGAGAAGTATTCGAAGGCGCCAACCGTATAGCTTATGGAGCCAGAGCTATTAATGAGGGCGGCTTTCAAAGTTTGCCCTCGAAGTTAACTTTCCCAGGGGGCTGTTTGGTGGGCTGCAGTGCCGGTTTTCTAAATGTACCTAAAATCAAAGGTTCTCACTATGCTATGAAGAGCGGTAAGTAATGTACTGAAAGCTCTATACATATTTGCGAGTGTTGTTAATGCTTGTGATATAGGTATGTTGGCTGCTGAAAGTGCTTTGGAATCTATAATGGGGGAAAAACAAGAAACTACCGGTTATGAACCGAAATCTTATCCAGACAAGTAAAGCGGCTTAATTATCTAAAATACCAATGCCGTTTTAAAAAAATTTATTTTATTTTATTTAGGATTAAAAACTCATTCATATGGAAGGATTTATATAAAGTGCGGAACGTGCGGCCGTCTTTCCACAATCCTTTAGGCCTATATGGCGGTATGATGTTAAGTGGCATCTCAATAATCTTGGGTGGCCGTGAACCTTGGACATTAAAGCACGCCGGTCTCGATAATCAGTCTCTAAAACTTGCTAGTCAATGCCCGCAAATCGTTTATCCCAAACCAGATAACAAAATTTCTTTTGATCTTTTGTCTTCGGTCGCTTTAACTGGCACGAATCATGAAGGTGACCAACCTGCACATCTCACTCTTCATAGCGATCGCACGCCAATAGACCATAATTGGGCCTTGTACGAAGGACCTGAACAACGTTTTTGTCCCGCGGGAGTTTACGAATATGTGCCGAACGATGAGGGCGGCAATATGAAATTACAGATAAATGCTCAAAATTGCATCCATTGC